ACAGAAAACCGCACCGAATAGAGCTCTTTTTTGCATCGTCACTCTTATTCAGAGATCTATATGTCTGCTCTACTCATTCTCCCAGACGTTCACATTTTTTAACGTTTTATGACCGCGGGGTAGATCACGTTACAGTAGCCTACAAATGTGCGCATCTACCACACACGCAGGACATCAGTTCTGACGGATCGCTTCCCAAATCGTCAATATCTAACATTTTCGTCTAGTTTTTATTCGTTGACGAAAATGTCAATAGATTTTCGTCATAGTCTTTGTCATTCAAAACTAGGTTTTATTTAGTTATCGTCTCGTTTTCGTCTGTGAAAAAATGTCGTTGACGAATAATTTTCGTCGTTATTTTCGTCAACGAAATTAACACTGGTATGACGAAGTCAGGCTACTTAAATTAGTTAAACGATGAGAATTCTCTAATTTGCCTTTGGCTAAGCCACACCCTAGAATGTAGATTGACCAATCACAGCGCAGCCAAGAACGAGCTCCCACAGAGGTCCGACACTTTTCCACAGGGCTTCATTGACTTTAACACAGGCGTCTCATATTTTTGGTCTCGGCAGGCTATTACCGTCGTAGTTTTATCAAAAATATGTTTAAACGTTGTGCCTGGGGCATTTGTAACACAGATACGCGTTTCCCAGAGAGGTTGGAGGGGGGTGTGCGTTTTTTTCCCTTCCCAAAGTCAAATCCTGACAAGTGTCGTCTAGCACACGCTGCTAATAAATACAACGTTATACTCGCGTAGTCCGTTTGCTTTGTAATAACGATTATAGAAGTGAATAGAGACCTACCCAGCTTTGCATGAACAGTGTTGCTGTTGCTCCTTGATATTGTCAGTCCCAGCCTCCGTCTCGATTAGTAGGATATGCGGTGGTTCATTTTTTGTCTGTGACCGATATGCTTTTGCCTCTATTTGGATGCCTTGTTGTTCCTTGCGTTTCACCTGTATCTCGTGAATATAGCCTTCGGACGTATATTGCAGCCCCTTTTGCCTACTTCTATCGGACACTTTATTTGCTGCTTTATAAAAGTTTGATAAAATTTCAGCAGGAAGAGCTGTCACAGCATAAGCCATGTTGATACCAGAGCCCAGATGAAGTTTGTTTGTCGGACGTAGCAACAGTAACTAAGGGGGGCGGGGCTTAGCCAAAGGCGAATTGATTGTGGTACAGAATTCCACTGATGTGATGCTCTGAATGAAATATTACCTTGACCAAAGTAAGTTCTTACGTGGAATTATACAATCCACTATAATTGGACCTCTAGTTACTCTGTTTTCAATATTTAAATTTAATAAAATCAGCCTGAGGAGGAGGAGCTAAACTATACATAATCTTATGAACTAAACAAACATTTTTAAAGTTAATGAGATTTTCCAAGCTAAACAAGTTATACTTATTTAAATTGTGACAATGATGAAAACTAAATAGTTTATTTAAAATTTTAAGTGCTTGTTTGTATAATAATTCCAATGGTTTTAGAACTATCAAATGTGAATTAGACCAGCTTGTCAAACACTATGTGATATGAGAAAGAATCATAGAGTGAAAATATATCTTTGCAGCCTCATATGATAAAGAATTTCTAATAAACCTTAAATTAACAAAGTTAAATTTAACCTTTTTGCAAACCTTTTTTATGTGGGTTTTGAAACCAAGACAGGAGTCCAGATGTGCCCCTATAGGTATTTACATTCTGAAACAACCTGTAATCGCTTTTGCGAAATAAAAAATATCCTGCTTTATATCTATATTATATATATATAGCACTTAGCCTGGTTAAAACCAGACCATTCTCAGTTGTAACTGAGTTATGGTCTGGCAAAGCTTCATAGACAAATCATTTCCAAAGGGGCGTCACCAACGGACGTAGCTCAAATGCCTCTGGGCGCAATTGGATAGGCCTAAAACCAATCAGAGCGATGAAGGAGATGACGTATGCAGAGCGATACAACTTAGTTTGAATAAACGAGCAGACAGACACTGACTGATTAGCTACTTGCTCTACGTTTATTTAAAATTAACAGCAAGACAACTAGAAGTGAATGTGCTTTCCATTAAATCAATCACACACAGTAAACAACACCTTAACAAAAAAAACTTTGCAATGAACTTTGCAATTTAGACGCGCAAACTGCGTGCCGGTGCGGTGAGACGTACATGCTCGGGCAGATTCGGCTTGAAGCCGTTCATCCTCGGACGTGGCGCCGCACGCGCTGTTACAAAAAAAGCCGTGCACACAGCCAAGCGAAATGAAATGGGGTCTTGCGCACCGAACGCATCATTTTTGCCTCGTGTGGACGCGTCGAGTATAAACAAGGCTTTACTCCGTGTCAGCGCATGCTCTGATCGGTGAAGGGGCAGAGATTTCAGACCACCGTCACACCCCTATAGGGCTTTACACGGGCTTTACACAGGCTTTTTGAAGCAGATTTTGGACATTTACAAAGATGGATGCCGCCGTGGAACTAGCGGCATCCATCTTTGTAAATGTACAAAATCTGCTTCACCGTCGCTGTGCTGTCGTCATCGTGTAAAGCCCGCCCCAACGTTTCTGATTGGTACTGCGATTTAGACGGATTAGAAATGGGCTTGAATGAGCTCTTTGCCAGACTAACATCTAAATTTCCCGGAAGTTGTCTGGGTTTTCCCAGGCTAATCAGCACTATGTCCTGTAGAAAAGAACATACAGACACATTTAATTTCTGATAACTGATTAAGCCAGGATGTAACTTTTGCCATAACATCTGTCAACGTTTTTTGCAAACTCCTCTGCATTTTATGAAAAAGACTGTATCGTCAGCATACATATTACATTGTTGACACACCATGGTTAAATCATTAACATACATGCTAAAGAGAATTGACCATTCGCAAAAGCCACGCCCCCTAGTTATTGTTACTACGCCCGTCAAACAAATGGTCAAACATGACCTGCGCGACAGATTTTCCATGACGGGAAGAGGTGCGTGTCAGTGACCTTTTTTGGAGCATTACCTCCACGATATCCTCCAGATCGAGGCACAAGGGGTTACAGTATGCAGTGGAGGGATATATTCAAAATATAAAAATACGCAATGAAGGAGACACGACTACTATCAAGGCAAATTCTTATACCGGTCTCAAGCGAAATCTGAGAAACCCCATGTACCTCAAATGCAACCAGCACAGCCTTGAAGAAAATTTTATAAGCTGGTTCAGTGGCTAATTGTTTGGAGTTAGAAATATATAACTCGCGCGGCATATTTAGTAATTTTGCCTCAGATACAGGATTATTCATTCGCTTTAACAAGCAGGTTGTTCATTACCACAGCAACCGCTTGCGTGTCATGCTGAATGCGATTTTCGTGTCTAAAAAGTAACTATACATAAGAGACGGAAAGATGAAGATAACTATACATTATTTAAGGTTATTTCTATTCGTTACGATATTGATATATGAACTGATGTTGTCAAGTAAGCTTCATGCTTTCCCCGTTGCGAACGTGCACTCCTCTAAACTGTAGTCTACGGGTGCTGCACTGCTAGTTAACTGCTGCTCCTACAAATAACACACACCACAACGGAAATGTTTCCAGGGGAACCAAATAAGTGACGAACCCGGCTGGGACGTGTTTATTGCTCGTGAGCTTCCCTATGCCATACTCCTTTCGAAAGGCAGACGCCAGAGCCCTTGAAGTGGGACTTTGGAGTGAACAGGACACTAGTGTGCTGTTATGTAGCCGTGTGAAACGCACTTGATGAAGGAGCAACGAAAGACAACGTAATTCCTCATTATTTTCACCTGGGATGTTCCCATGACAACGCAGCACGGCGTCCATCCAAGCGTGCCGCACAAGCCCTGAAAATTGAAGCCAAAACGTCTTGATCGCCCCCTGGTGGCTGGTCCTAGTATAGGTCATAAACCCCCCCCCATGTTATTCAACGGGACGTGAGACCAACTAAACAATTAAATTACACTTCAAATATCGTTTTTCCAAAGATGATTTCTGTCATTAACGGTAGTTTGTATCATGCTGATGTAATTTCAAGAGTTTGTTTGTAAAATAAAGCTGTGATTGAAGGGGGGGGGGGGGGGGGGGGAATCTCCTCAACCACCACCAACGACGGCAGGCATATTGCGCCAGAACGCCCACCACACACCAGCTTACTGGTGGAGAGGAGACATAGTGATGAAGCCAATTGGTATATATATATGGGGATGATTAGGAGGCCATGATGGACAGAGGCCAAGGGACAAATTTGGCCAGGATGCCGGGGTTACACCCCCACTCTTTCGAAAGACATCCTGGGATTTTTTGTGACCACAGAGAGTCAGGGTCTCGGTTTAACGTCTTATCCGAAGGACGGTGCTCTTTGACAGTATATAAGTGTCCCCGTCACTATACTGGGGCGTTAGGACCCACACAGACCACAGGGTGAGCGCCCCCTACTGGCCTCACTAACACCTCTTCCAGCAGCAACCTGGTTTTCTCAGAAGGTCTCCCATCCAACATGTGTTACTCTCTATATGTGTCTTTTCTGCTAGTACAGCTGTGTGAACTTGACAAGAATTGACTTCAAACATCCACTAAAAGGTACTGACACCAGTAGACTAAAAGTAATTATTATTAAAAAAAAAAAAAGTAGCTCTGTACATAGCACCTAAAGGGACATGGTGATGAAAAAAATATGAGGTATGAGAAGTTATGCGATCGCCCAAGAAACTTTGTGTTCCAGAACTCAAAGAACTAAAAAAAAAACATTTGTGAGAAAGCACAAAAGCATTGACATTTGATTTTTCCTCCATCACCATTCCTTTAGGGGCTCTGTAGCTCTAAGAAAATCTCTGGCATCATTTGTTTGTAGATGTCACCTGATATTTTATCTCATGCAATAAAATTCATTTACTACAGTTTTGAATGGGACATGGTATTGTTGCAGATTGGGTATTTTAGTGGCACTGTGTTTTTAATTCTGTATGTTGGGTTGTATGTGTCTAAACAGGTATATGATCATCAGTATAAAGCTGTGCTGGATGGAATGGAGACTGAGAGCATGATGGAAATCCATCCAGGGCAACGCATCGAGATCTTCAGGATGGGAAATGGCACAGACGAGGTCCTGGAGGTGCACGACTTCAAAAATGTAAGTGCTTATGACATACAAGTGAAATATTTTCATTGTGATCTGATAGATTCAGCTCACATTCCTGCAATCTGAGTCTCAGCCTAGGAACTGCTGTCAAAATACAGACAGAGCGTTTTTCTTTTTCTCTCAGACTGATGATATTGAATCTCCGAAAAGCACTGTGCTAAGCAAAAGCAAACTGGCAGCGATGACATCTTGCATCAGCATTCAGACACACTTGTTGTTGGCCCCATCTTCTTTCTAAATTACAATGGTCAGTGGAGCAAAGCCACAAAACAGATTAGTTTCATTCAAGCCATTGCCATGGGAAAGCAGAAAACAAGTGAATAGGTAAAATCATTCAAATCACATGTTGATATAAATGAAAGGAGAGTTTGAGCTCCGAGCCCTCTTCGGCACTTCTTGCAACTTCTGGCTCAGGGCAGACTTTTGAATTGATTTTTGTGAAGGAGGGATGTTGCAAGTCATTACACACACTAAAACTACAAACCATCTCCATAGAGCCTGAAGGCTACAGCACATGAATGGAAATGCAGTGATGATGCCAACAGAAACACAAGCAAAATCCTTTCTCTATTGTTTTAGTAAAGTTCTCAGAGTGTCCTCCAGAAACTTACAAGTTATAATGAGAATTCCACAACAGCAGCTTATAGGGAAAGCCAAGGAGACACATCACATAGACTGACATAAAGTGTCCTTCAGCTTGAGAAAAGGGAATAATCCAGCAATATATTTTATGGCAATGCAAGGTACCAGTGAATAACTTTTTTTTATTATTGTCCAGGAATCACTTCATATACACCATTGTTCAAAGAATCGGGGTCAGTACGATTTTTTTAAAGTATTTAATATTCAGAACGGATGCATTAAATTGATCAAAAGTGACACTAAATACTTTTATTTTGTCATAAAACATTTCTATTTCAAATAAATTGCTGTTCTAATATGCTGTTCTTTTATAGATTATATTTACTAAAGGACCCTGAAAGAAAATATCACTGTTATGTTATGTTACACATATGTTTCTTGAGCAACAAATCAGCATATTATAATTATTTCTGAAGGATCATGTGACACTGAAGACTGGAGTAATTTTGGAATGCAAGAAATAAAATACATTTTTAAAATAGGCTGCATTAAAGTAAAAGTTCATTAAATATTTTTAATGTTTTACTGTATTTTGATCAAATAAATGCAGCCTTACTGACCATTTATGCTATACGTGATTCTATATCTCAATTTTTCACATTTTTCTCTCCTGTAACTTTGATAAAGTCAGTGTGACTATTATTTTAGACTAATTTTCATTGTTTAAATTTGATTCTGAGGTGGAAATGACCTTCAAAACATACCTAACTGCAAAAGAGCTGGAAAAATAAAGCAAAAGCATTTCGCAATGTATACATGGCACATTGTTCTCTAATCGTTGTAGTCTTGTAAAAAGCAGTTACAAAAGTGGCTGAGAGCAAGGCTTTAAATGATTTTGCCAATAATCACACTGTCTCTTTCCATCAGTGTGGAGAATAACAATGATTAGTTTGTCCTACAGGAAGACAAGATGAGCTATCTTACCGCCCATTTGATGATACAAGAGGTCGGTAAAGATGCAGGGGGAATTTCTTAACAAAGTCAAAGTCTGTTTATAACATCCTAATACAGAAACAGTATACTGCCAGGGTCAGCTTCCCAGACACAGATTAAGTCTGATCTTAGATCTAGTAATGTTGTTAACAGCGATTCTTTGGTGCTAATTCGGTTTAGCGCCAGCCCTTGACTTCACCTGCATTCAGGAAGCAGTATTTGTTGTCTCTCAAACCAATAACTGGGCATCTACATGCAAGTAATGTGCCAATGATTGGAGCAGCGCTTCTTTACCCTCTGCCAATTGCATCATTCATTGCTTCCATTCAAATAATTTCTCAGTGCATGCACACATTTAATCTGGCTAATGGCAAAGCTGTACTTCAACACTCTTTCTTCAATGACATTCTTTTCCTATTTTTTATCCTTGTAATAAAGAGTCTCTCCATTTTCCAGTTGACCAGGCTCAGCAATAAACGCATTTCATCAAGAGATAGGTCCTTCTTGCATGCAAAAGCAAGCCATTAACAGGAATTGAAGAGCAATTTGTCACAATGATTTTTCGGCACCAATAATGCACTCCTCTCATAACCGTTTTTTTTTTTTTACTAACCGGTGAGCTTAGGTGAAAATGACAATTATAAGCCTGCATTCTAACATTAGTTATGAAAGCACAAACACATGGATTTACAAAAGATGCTTTCGTTAATACTGCAGAAATAATTCAGCATCATACTCACTCTCAGTTTTCTTATGCTGCAACAGCAAACCGAGAGCAACTGTGGATTACCTAATGTATTCCCGAATGCAGGGAGATATTGTTTTTATCCTTCCGAGTGAAGAGTCTGTAACACGATAGCCTTTATTTCCCTTCGAAGACTACTTTCAGACAGTAAAGCACTGAGCACTGAAAATTCTTCAGAATCTCCTGCTAAAATGGGTTTTTCTCTTTTCAAGTGTAAAGCAACAAATTCTGTATGGCAGACCATCAGCTGTGGCTTTTAGGAAAATAGCTCCTCAGTTCACCAAACAGATTAGCTTCGCAACACAGACCATAAGTACTGCAAATCAATGGGTTTTGCCTACATATAATCATGGCTTCGGCGGTATACCTCTATATTGCCTGGGGTTGTAGACCCATAATCTTGAATTGGCTAGGAAATGATTCCTGTTGCATTAGTTACTGTATAGCATTCGCTATAGCTGTGCTGTGCTGTGCTGTAAAAGCTTCGGTGTCAGAGAGTATTTGAAGTCAACTGCTGATTTTTTGTATTTATTTTTTGTATTGTGGAATAAACATTCATTAATATCTGTGACATTCAAGGGCATCATGGGCATCCGTTTTGCCAAGCACCAGAGATGTTACATCAGGGCTCAAACCAAGGAGCTGCCGAAGCTGGACTCAAAGACCATCGACGTAGAGGTATTCTAATCTCACTAAACATATCTTTAAGCAATTGCTTCCTTAAAACATGGCGAAAACATCCTGAATTTTGCAGCTCATCAGACTGTGAAAATGAAACTTACTCCAAACATCATCCACAATCCAACTAACCAGCAACCCCAACCATCATTCCCTCCAGCATCTCCCACAAAAGTATAAACTTGGGTCTCCTGTGGCCATGAATCCATCCGAAAGTCCACAATCCTATAACCCCTTTGTGGCACACATCAAATGGTGTTTGCTGTCAATCCTGAACTAATATTAATTTTTAATCATCTCCTCTGAAGCCTGAGCCCAAATAGCCTTAAGGAGTGAGAGAGAGGGGTCCTTGGGAAAGGTAAGCCATTAAAATGGTATTTGAAGATGTTTGCTCCGTAAATTTCACTTGACTCAGGGCTGAAGTGATTCATCTCTGTTCTCCTGCTCTAATGGCTGTCTGTGATGCTCTGCAAGAGTGATGGGCGAAATTCTATCAATCAAACATCCAGTTTATCGGTGTCATGGCGAATGGCAATCGGCTTCACATGCGCCAAACTCTTTCCTTCACAGTTCATATTGAAAAGGGGGTGTGCAGAAAAGAGGCACGCCTCTCTGATTTGTATTAAAAACACACTGATGTATTGTTGTCGCAAGTTCCCAGACATCATCTTTGACTTTTGGAACAGAAGGTATTATAGGCAGAAACAGCCTGCATGTTCTCTCCCTCATCGTTTTAATGTCTAATCCATGTTTACAGATACTAATTGCGAAGCAAACGCCATATGTCGCTGCCATTTCTCCTTTTTTTTTGCTCATTGTGAAACCTAATTAGATTTTTCGGCAAAGCTTTATTTCACAGATGTGAAATCAATCAGAGTTGGCCAGGGCTGAAGCAGTGGGGCTGGAAAGAGAGGGTAGATGGAAAGAGAGCGAGCGATGCTCCTGGTTCTCGAGGGGGGACGGGGACACATGGTGCAAGATGGAGCAAGCTGTTCATACTATAAAGACACAGCTAACCAGGAGAACATTTACACAAATGATCACTCATTTATTGGATAAACAGACTAAGAAGTGTAAAATGCTAAAAATGCGAGCTGTGGGCTTTACATGAATGTGGCAGAATGATTCAGGCTTGCTAACTGTCTATTTACATTCCTGCTTTCTCTAAATCTTTGATTTGATTATATACATAGGCCTGAGATAAATCAGGATGCTATTGAAACCAAAGACCACTTGTGCATGGACGAGAGAGAGAGAGAGAGAGAGAGAGAGAGAGAGAGAGAGAGAGAGAGAGAGAGAGAGAGAGAGAGAGAGAGAGAGAGAGAGAGAGAGAGAGAGAGAGAGAGAGAGAGAGAGAGAGAGAGAGAGAGAGAGAGAGAGAGAGAGAGAGAGAGAGAGAGAGAGAGAGAGAGAGAGAGAGAGAGGAAACATGCCATTCTTTCTAAGGTTGTGAACATGTTAAGGAAGTAGAGGTTAAAATCCATATTATTAGCTCCAAGTGCAGCTGAGCCGCAGGGCAGTGGTCCCAGAGCAAGCTGCCTTAACACGCTTCACCACAAAACAATGCTGGCTGAGGAGAAACTGCATGCCACTGATAAGGAAATAAAGCAGCCTGCAAGCACGACCAGGTGACAAGCATAAATTGTATTCTGCCAGTTTGTTTACCATTTTCAATTTATTCAGTCTGGGAAATGATGAAAGCTGTAATCCCTGAACTTCCCACTGGTCACCAACTGCCCAAATGTCTCAGATGAAATCACACCCTGTCTTCCCGCACACAGCACTTGAATCTCAGGATTAATTTGGTCTTTTGGTAACTCTGTGCAAATCATCACTTTCTCCGTTTCTATTTATACTTTCTTCCCTTAAAAAGTTTTCATTAATTAATTGCATTACTGTAAAATGTATTTATTTATTTTGCTATAGGCCTAGACCCAGGGTTTTCAAACTGGGATGTGCAAGGTGAGAAAGAAATATGTTTGCAGTATCATTCTGCTTTTCTAATTCGTAAGACTGATTTGTGGCTATTTTATTCAATTCACAGTCCTAGTTTTTAACATTAAGAAAAAAAAAGTTTCAGTCTCTCCTTGCAATGTAAAAACTTTCATGTTAAGACAACACAGCTGTCGTTATATTTTGGAAAGAGGGACCATCACGAGTGAATGATCATATTTGGCATTAAAATCGGATCCATTAAGATCCTTGGCATTAAACATCTGAAAACCCCTGGTATACCCCAAAGAAAGTTATCCATTAGCATTCCCATTCAAGGCCCTTGTCTGCTGCAGGACCTGTTTGGAAGAACATGATAAGAATTCTGCCTTTTGCTCATGGGCACTCAGTTCTAAACACACCAGTTTTGAGCCAATTACCCAAAAGTTTGAGGTCAGCAAGCCTTCTTTTTTTTTTAAAGATACATTAAATCAATCAAAAGAGAAAGACATTTTTAATGTTACAAAATATTCATATGTCAAATAAATGCTGATGTTCTAAACTTTATTTTAATCAAAGAATGCTAACAAAAATATATTACTGTTTCCACAAAAAGCAGCACAACTATTTTCAACATTGATAATAAATGTTTCTTGATGATCAAATCAGTAACGACTGCTGAAATTTTAGTTTTGCCATCACAGAAATACATTTCAATTTAAAATATATTAAAACACTTATTTTAAATTATAATAATATTTCCCAATAATACTGTTTTTACTGCATTTTAATTGAATACATGCTGCCTTGGTGAGCATAAGAGACTTCGTTAAAAAACATTTTAAAATCTCACGACCCTAAACTTTTGAACGGTAAAGAAGGTGCAAAGAGTGAAGCTTTTAATCAGGTGTACATTTCATGTGACGTTAGATTACTTTGGATCCACAGAAAAATGATGCCCTCACAATGCTGATTGGCTGATGGCAGCCTTCACTATCAACTATAATATAATTTTTTTATTTTTTTATTTTTTTGCATGCCATCAATGGAGAAAGAGACATTTTTATGGTGCAATTTCAGCATCAACCAGCTGGGGTCATACTAACTGGGCCATGCTATCCAGCCAAACCTTGACCCCTTGGTCAAGACATAATTCAGCTTCGCTCTTTTCTTTTCAGTGCCTCTTTCGCAACCCTTAGATGTCTCAAGAGAACCCACCTTAAACTTATACAGCTAATTTCTCAAAAAAAAATGTGATCAAATATTGCAGGATCAGTGCCCTAACCTTTGTTTACTCATGTGAAAGGCAAAGAAACTGTCTCAAAGGCGCAGAGAGTGAAGCTTTTAATCAGGCATAACTGGAACCGCTACAGGTCAGTGCAGTGTCGCTTCCCAACAAACAAGAAACGGCACCGAAAAATGACTTCTAATAAAACAAGAGCAACGGGATGAAAAAAAGAGGGTTTAGGGGGAGAGCAAATGAAAGAGAAAGAGGGGAACCTAATATAAATGATTGTAGCTCAGACAATAGCCTCAGGATTCTACATCCAGCTTAACTAATGTGCAATTAAGCTTTAGACTGGGAGAAAATCACCTTGTAAAAATATTTGTCATGTGAGCCGTTTCTCTGGTCTCTGCACTAATTAACAAGGGAACGTAGTAGAGTTTGTTTGTTTGTACTTCTATTTACACATAACTACAGCAAAACAAACATATACCTCATGTGATTATATTATCCAAAGACACTTTAGATCTCAATTAAGTCACTGACATTTAATCGCTATCATTAAGCAATAATAATTTACTTAACAGCTTATGAACTGTAGAACTAACAAATTAAGTACATTATTATCAGTTGTATAATTAGTTGCATTATTGTGACAGAGTGGATGCACCACAGTGAACTTTATCGTCCCTACAGGACTGAAAAACCTTCTATAGACCAACACAGAAGACATATTTGAAGCCATCTTAAAGTCAGATAAATTTCTGTACTTCTATAGCCTGGAAAAACCCAGACAATTTCCGGCAAATTTAGATTTGCTCTGAAAGTTAGTCTGGCAAAGAGCTCATTCAAACCCATTTCCAATCCGTCGAAATCGAGGAACCAATCAGAAACGTTGGGGTGGGCTTTACACGATGACGACAGCGCTGGGATTTTGAAGCAGATTTTGTAGCCTACATTACAAAGACGGATGCCGCCGTCGAACATCACTCGTTCGAATCAGCTATCGCGTCTGTTTTAAGCGATTTGAACATTTCCTTTTTGTTAAAAACCGAGCAAAGAACAACACTCGGAGATGTTTCTCCGCCGCTCTGCATACGTCATCTCCTTCATCGCTCTGATTGGGTTTAGGTCTATCCGCGACGTCCGTTAGTGACGCCCCTCTGGAAATGATTTGTCTATGACGCTTTGCCAGACCATAACTCAGTTACAACTGAGAAAGGTCTGGTTTTAACCAGGCTAGTATTTCTAAGTATTGCTGTAAAAAAATAAAATGCACCACCACCAGTGTAATGACGGAGAAGAGGCAGTCGAATCCATCTGCAGCACTTTATTCAAACAGGTAATAAAACAAGGAATCACTGACATGAAACAACTGCACACGTTTCAGCATGTAGCGTGGCAAAACAAGACTTCGCAATGAACATAGAACTGAGCAGTCCAGATAAAGGGTAGGTAACGATTAACAGGTGGGAGTGATGAGACTGAATGGAGAAACCAGGCAGGGATGGAACCTAATGATAGCAGAGGGGAATGATGGGAAGTGCAGTTCTAGAACTCAGGTGACAAGGAGCGTGTGAGATCGGGGAGAGGTGAAGACGCGCGCTCAGTGACAGCCGCGCGCTCCGTGACAGAGCCCCCCTCCTGCGAGCGGCTCCGGAAGCGAGGACCTGGACGACGGGGTCTTCCACGGGGTCTTGGAGCTGGACGATCTGGGTGAGTGTGATGGTAAGTGTTAAGCAGAGCAGGGTCCAGGACGTCCTGAGACCTGACCCAGGAACGTTCCTCGGGGCCATACCCCTCCCAGTCAATCAAATATTGCAGTGCCCCGCCGCGGCGTCTG